CTGGGAGCCCCCTGTAAATACTGACACATTTCTCTGGGAGCCCCCTGTAAATACTGACACATTTCTCTGGGAGCCCCCTGTAAACCCTGACACGTTCCCCCAGGGAGCCCCCTGTAAACACTGACACGTTCCCCCAGGGAGCCCCCTGTAAATACTGACACATTCCCCTGGATGGTGTTAAGCTTCTTGAGTGTTGAAGCAGCACTCTTGCAGGGAAATGAAGAGTATTCCATCACATTCCTGTCTTACATATGATGGACAAGAATTCACAGGGCCTAACCTCCCAGTGGAACTACAGTATTTGTATGGCTGAACTAGCTCAGTTTCTTACCAAAGGGAGCCTCCAAATATTGAGAGTCGGGCATTCAGCACATGTGATGGCTGTAAATTGGGAGAGAGGAGTGTGCAGTGGGACCTGAGTGTCCTTGTGCACCAGTCGTTGATGGTAAGTATGCAGGTACAGCAGGCAGTAATGAGGGCAAATGGTATGTTGGCCTTCATTGTGAGAGGTTGCGAGTACAGGAGCAATGGTGTGTTGTTGCAGTTGTACAGGGCCTTAGTAAGATCACACCTGGAATATTGCGTGCAGTTTTGGTCTCCTTTTCTGAGGAAGGATGCTCTTGCTCTGGAGGGAGTGCAGCGAAGGTTTACCAGGCTGATTCCGGGTCTGACCTATGAGGAGAGATTGACTAGGTTGGGATTGTTTTCTCTGGAATTCAGACGAATGAGGGGGGGATCCCACAGCGACTTATAAAATTCTAGCAGAACTGTATTGGGTAGATGCAGGGAGGATGTTCCCGATGGTGGGTGTGTCCAGAACCTGGGGTCACAGTATAAGGATTCGGGGTAGACCATTTAGGACGGAGGTGTGGGGACATCTCTTCACACGAGGAGTGGTGAGCCTGTGGAATTCATTACCACAGGAAATAGTCCATGCCAAAACATTGAATGTATTCAAGAGGCGGCTAGATACAGCACTTGGGGCGAATGGTATCAAAGGTTATGGGGAGAAAGCAGGATTAGGCTATTGAGTTGGACGACCAGCCATGATCATGAAGAATGACAGAGCAGGCTCGAAGGGTTGAATGGCCTCCTCCTGCACCTATCTTCTATGTTCCTATAGGTTTCTAAGGTGAGATGGTTGCGTTCTCTCGCTTTGGTGGTGGACACTGCCTTTGTGGTGTGCTCTGAGTATTACCTTCTACATATCAGCCTAAACCTGAATATTGCCCAGGCCTTGCCACACATGGGCATTGACTACTTCAGTATCTAAAGGGTTGCAAATGGAACTGGAGATTGTGTGCATTTGGCTTATTATTGAGAGAAGGGCTTAAATGGAGCACCTGAAGATGGTTGGATACTAGGACACTACCTTGAGGAACTCCTGCAGAGATATCCTTGCATTTCTAGTATACATTTCACATAAATATTCATCTCTACGTGATTCACAAATGAAAGAATGGACATGTCATGGCTTGAACTGGGAGTAGGGAGAGCTCTGTTGGTGAAACAATGAATTATTGAGAAGAGAATGGAATTCGAGATATCAGAATCAGGGTGACTCTGGATTTGGAATGATGAGAGACTGGGATAGGTGATGGATAAAACTTCACTATCAAAGTACACAGGAGGTTAGTCCAAAGGCACAGAAGGATTTAGAAGAACAGAAAGATCCAACACACTGAGGAAGTAACACTGCGACACATTGTTGGCTAAAATGTGGATACGTACCTGTGATTCCATGTTACCCTAGTGTGATTTCTTAGCTCTGCAGACTGAGGAGAACATCAGACCCTTAATTACAGGAATGGAATTACACTTGGATCCCTTCTTAATCGAGTGACATCAGCAAAGCATTCAAAGATATTCCCTTCCAATTCTTTTAGAATGGAATGATCTGACTTTGCATATGAAATTGATGAAAATAACATATAGATTTAAGTTCTGAAAATATTCTTCATAATGTCAGACCATAAGGCATATGCAGGCCACAGTCATGTAGTAATTCAACTGTTTTGAGACATTCTTAAGGTTACTAAGAGCAGTGAACTAATAATATGTCAGCAAATGAGATGTACCTTGATTGTTTTCTAGCTGCAGAAATCCAGCTTGACATCTTTTTATATAACAGCTTGCAGCCATGTTCTTTAAATGTGTTATTGACTGGGCTCGTATTTAAATAGGTCTACTACCTTGCTCGGTTAGTCAGAAGTCGCACGACACCAGGTTTATAGTCCAACGGGTTTATTTCAAATAAATCCATCAAACTATAACCTGGTGTTGTGTGACTTCTGACTTTGTCCACTGCCGTCCAACACCAGCACTTCCACATCATTGCTCCGTTAGATGACTGTAGTCGCCATTATTTATGGACTTTACTTCAAAACTCCTTCTTTTCTATGTTGCAGCTGTGGCCGACCGTTCAGTAAACTGACACACTCGGACAGCATAGCGGATCGAGTTGATGCACCAGCCCACTCACTAAGCAGGACTGGTAAGCTTCTATCATCGATGTTCACTGCACTATCCTGGACTCGGTCATAATGAAGATTCGCCCGATGGTGCTGGGTAGCTTTGTTGTGTCGGTGGAAACTCTAGGCAGAATGCCAAACTGTGCAATGTTTCTACGGTTTTTTTGTACTGATTTTAGAATCATAGAATAGAATCATAGAATCCCTTACAGTGTGGAATCAGGCCGTTCGGCCCATCGAGTCCACACTGATCCTCCAAAGAGCATCCCACCCAGACCCACTCCCCTACCCTATCCTTGTAACCCTGCATTTCCCATGGCTAATCCACTTAGTCTGCGCATCCCTAGACACTATGAGCAATTTAGCATGGTCAATCCACCTAACCTACTGCTACTCAGTTATAAGGCACTCGGTAGGATGGGTTTAGGTGCTGGATGGGTGTCTTTGAATGCTTGCATCCTTTAACTCAAAAACCATAATGGTAACTGTGGTTTTTCTCTCATTTTTGAATTTGTCCTCTCCACATACCAGTTAGTAGGAGAGACGGTGAAGAGGCAGTCTGTGCCCATAATCTATTCCAGTTAATGGGAATTGAGCATCGTCTGCAAGACCAGCATTTGTTGTCCATTCCTAATTGCCCTTGCAAATGTAATGGTGAACCTGTGCTGTGCGTGTACCTCTACCATGCAGTGAGTAGGTGAGTGGGGACAGGTGTTGGATCCTGGATTTTGATCCCATGATGGTGAAGGGAGAATAGATAGAACATAGAACATTACAGGCCCTTCGGCCCACGATGTTGTGCCGAACTTTTACCCTAAACCTAAGGTCTATCTAACCTCCACCACTACCTTATACTATCACCCATATGCCTATCTAATAGCCACTTAAATGCCCCTAATGAGGCCGAATCCACTACCTTCTCCGGCAATGCATTCCACGCCCCGACCACTCTGAGTAAAGACCTATCTCTGACGTCTCCCCTATATCTACTTCCACTTACTTTAAAAGTATGCCCCCACCCCCCCGTAATAGCTACCTCCACCCTAGGAAAAAGTCTCTGGCTATCCACTCTATCTATACCTCTGATCATTTTGTGCACCTCTATCAAGTCACCTCTCATCCTTCGTCATTCTAAAGAGAAAAGCCCTAGTTCTCTCAACCTTTCCTTGTGAGACCTTCCCTCCATTCCAGGCAATATCCTCGTCAATCTCCTCTGCACCTTTTCCAAAGCTTCCACATCTTTCGTGTAATGAGACGACCAGAACTGGACACAATACTCCAGATGTGACCGAACCAGGCTTTTGTATAGCTGGAGCATAACTTCACGGCTCTTGAACTCTCTCCCTCTATTAATGAAAGCTAACACACCATACGCCTTCTTAACAACTCTATCCACCTGGGTGGCAACTTCCAGGGAACTGTGGACATGAACCCCAAGATCCCTCTGCTCCTCCACACTGCCAAGAATCTTTCCATTAACCCTGTATTCTGCTTTCAAGTTTGTCCTTCCAAAATGAATCACCTCACACTTTTCAGGGTTAAACTCCATCTGCCACTTCTCAGCCCAGCTCTGCATCCTATCAATGTCCCTTTGTAACCTGGAACAGCCCTCCGCACTATCCGCAACTCGACCCACCTTCGTATCATCCGCGAACTTACTAATCCACCCTTCCACTCCTTCATCCAAATCGTTTACAAAAGTTACCAATAGAAGAGGACCCAGAACAGATCCTTGTGGTACACCACTTGTAACTGAGCACCATGTTGAATATTTTCCGTCCACTAACACCCTTTGTCTTCTAAGGGTCAGCCAGTGTTGATATAGTTCCATGTTTGGGTGTTGTGTGACTTGAAGGGGAACCTACAGGTTGTGATGCACCCGTGTGTTCATTGCCTTGTCCTTCTGACATGGGTCACAAGAGTCTCGTGAGTTATTGCAGAGCATCTTGTAAATGATGCACACTTTGCATCGGTGGTGCTGGAAGTGGATGTTGGTGTACATCAAGCAAGCTGTTTCATCCTGGATGGGGTTGAGTTTCTTGAGTGTTCTATGTTCATCCAGGCAAGCGGAGAATATTCCTGACTTGTACCATGTGGATAGTGGAGAGCAGTAAAATGTCTGGTTTCAGCCTGATTTCTGGCAACGAGTGCCAGAGCTATTATTCAAAGAGCAAGACAGAAAAGGAGATGGGACCATTTCTGATGAATATTTATTTCCTTGCAGAGGACGCTGCACAAGCGACATCTGACTATGACAGCACCCATGAAACAAATAACAGCGACAGCAGTGACATCACACAGAATGATGAAGAGCAGGAATCATGTTCAAAAGGATTGGTTCAATCCCTCAAAAGTTCTGACTGCAGAAACTATAGGCCCGAAAGCCTTATGTTGCATCATTTGATTCCAGCTGAGGTACGTCACTGGAATGAGTTTGCTTTGAGAGAAGGTATGCTGGGTTGATGCTTTGAGCAGCTCACCATGCCACAGTACAATGAATGGATTGAAACTTGTTTGCTAGCAACATGGTTCAGGAAGCGTCATGGGATTCACCATTTTTTTGAAAAGCAGCAAATGCTTTCACAGTAAACCTCAAACCATTACTCTCACACGTTTCTGCCATTATTTCAGCAGGTTGTCTCAAAGTCCCATTTAGAGAGAATTCCATGGATTAACATTCTCACAAGTAGTTAGAAATGAGGATGGCAAAATACTTGCAAGTAGTTTAATTGGACAGCGGTAACTTCACCCTCTCCACAAGAGAAGGGGCTTGAGATTTATAAGCAGTTGCCTATTTAAAGACAACATGTCCTATAGTGGCGAGTTATAAAACTAGAATGTGGAAGATAGTTATTTTAATCCATTTGTTTGAACATTTCACATTGTACTTTTGGGGCAGGTGGGAGTTGAACCCAAACCTTTGGCTCAGAGGTTGGGACACTGTCACTATATCACTGAGTTTCTGAATTTGAATCACTGGATTCAGAGTGGCAGAATGCTCTCCATTACACCACAGAACCCAAATCTTTAGAGACTGGATAATGCTGAGGCTGGGATCCTGCAACCCAGATTTCAGGGCTGAGCCTGTCTCTGCTAGGCCGGCTCAGGCACCTTTAGTAATTTGCACGGCAGTGCAGGTTATCGGTATGAGGGGCAATGCTGCTCCCACCTCATAACCTGCAGGCCGTAGCCAAGTGGCTGTGATAGGTGGAGGGGCATGGGAGGGAGGGACGGAGGAAATGGGCAGGATGGAGGGGCATGGCGAGGAGTGCAGGGGCTTGGAGAAGGACATGGGGAGGAATGGAGGGGCATAGGGAGGTGTTGGAGGGGTTTGGGGATTTGATTTGATTTATTGTAGTCGTGTGCACCTAAGTACAGTGAAAAGCTTTGTTTTGCGAGCAGTACAGGCAGATCATAGCAAACAAGGACATACAGATCAAGGGGAGCTTCGACAGAGCGAGGCGTACAAGGTTATGGCTGCACAGGAGGTGCACAAAGCAAGATCAGCATTAACAAGATCAACATTATTTGAAGTTAGAGAGTCCATTCATCAGCCTAATAATGGCAGGGAAGAAGCTGTTCCTGAACCTGTTGGTGCGTGTATGGTCCGTCTGCCTGACAGAAGGGGTTGTAGGAGAGCATTATGAGGGTGCGAGAGGTCTTTGATGATGGGAGGGGTTTGGACAGGGGTAGAGGGACATGGAGAGGGGATGGTTGGGCATTGCTGGACAGGCCATGGTGGATGTGGAGATGTGAAGCCTCTGATTGGCATGGTGGTGGTGGTCGGAGAGAAGGGACAAAGGTGCCCTCTCTTTCCCAGGGCTCGACATTGCCAGGCTGCGTGGTAAGGGCAGAATTCTCAGGTTGCCTGTTATTCCTGATGCCTACCCTCCATACAGTCAAGGTAGGCCAGTGCCCTTATTTAACTCGGGTAGCTGTTTCCCCACCTGTGGGTGGCCATTAAAATTCAGCACAAGGTTCTTCTTCGACATATCCTGGGGAAAACAGGCAACAGGTTTCACAGACTGAAACCACTGTTTTAATAAGGAAATAAGAATAAAGGATAATATCTTTCTTTAAGAGTTAACTCCTCACATTTCAGACTATTTCCCTAACAAGCTCAACAAACTGGGGAGTTGAGAGATAAACTGGTCCATTGTGCTATCCAGTGGCCAAAATCCACAACTACATATGACGCCAGGGGAGCCGTGATAAACTTGACCTGTCGAAAGCCATGATTGGTAGGAATATCAGTTTCATGCACTGCAGAAGAAAAGCATGTAAAAATGTTAAAGTGCAGAGTTCGGAAGAATTTTCGGGGAAAGGATGCATTAAAATTTTCAATTAATTGTAGGATTCCACAGTGAGGCTGGCATGCAGTTGTTTGTCCTCAGTTGCCCTGATACCATGAGTAGTTTGCTAGGACACTTCACAGAGCAGCTCAGGCTCCACAGAATTTGAGTCACATGGAGACTGGCCCAAGGAACAGCAGCTATCATTCCCTGAAGGGAGTTGAAGGTTACTTTAGAGTGAGGAGCAGGCACAAAAATGGATTCAGGATCACAACAGATCAGCTGTTAAATGGGAGAGCAGGATCAATGAACCGAATAGCCTAGCTGTGCCCTTATTTCTGATTATCTTAATGAGATATTGTACCGTAAGGAGAATATGATAGTCGATACTGACATTTTATTTCCAGATTTTTAAAATCTAATTTGACGTCTTCAAACAGCCTTGTTGGAAATTGAACTAATTTTCTACGAATTATTGGTTCATTAACCTAACTGGCTTATTACTATATCCATTCAAGGTATAGAGAATTAGAGTTTATAATGACACTGTACATGAGGTGGCAAGAATTAAGTCTTCCTGTGCAGTGAGATTTTAGAAGGCTGGTAATTCTTAAGCAGTAGCTACTGTTACTATTACTATTCAATTCGTCTTTTTAAATCATATGAATTCTGTGCTAATGAAATAAACTGGCCTGGATTTGGTAGTGAGAATAGTGTTGAGGCCGGTAATGTTGACTATTAAGAAGTAAATTAGACAGAAATCTCCAGACCTTGCAGTGGTGTAGATAAAGGTATAAATTAGGCTATTGCTATCATTGATACCTTATTGGTCAAGTATCTTCATTTTAATGGATTCTCACTGAGATTCAACACTGAAACACATGAAAAGTGTGAACTTTGGCATTTCCCTCTGGAGGTGATGTAACTATGCTGGATAGTATTGGGGCATATTTAGTGAAATTTTTATCAGCAAGTGAATCTCGATTACAGATAAACAGACTCCCTAGATCAGATAATTAACTTGGAGTCTCATTTCTTCATATTTTCATCATTGTTAGGGATCTAAAAATGTTTAACTTCAAATGTTTTTGTCTTCTTTATCTCATCTTTCTTTTTGTCTTTCTGTATTTTGCTTTCTGTGCATTTTTCTCTATTGAATGAAATTTTCCAACATAGAATTTCTGGGTCAGACTCTGCGGATCTCCATTAGGATTCTTCAGGAGATTAGTTAAAGAGACGCATCATGTTCACATAAACCTCAGATCTCTTGGCTGAATATCACATTGATTTGATAATCACAAGTCCCAGAATGAAAGATTATAGAAATTCTGTGACAAGTCCGAGTGTTATGATAGTATCATTAGGCCAAAACTGTGTTCAATTCTGGTCTCCCTGCAATAGGAAAGATGTTGTGAAACTTGAAAGGGTTCAGAAAAGATTTACAAGGATGTTGCCAGGGTTGGAGGGTTTGAGCTATAGGGAGAAGCTGAATAGGCTGGGGCTATTTTCCCTGGAGTACTGGAAGCTGAGAGGTGACTTTATAAAGGTTTATGAAATCATGAGGAGCATAGACAGGGTGAATAATCAAGGTCTTTTCTCCAGAGTAGGGGAGTCCAAAACTAGAGGGTATAGACTTAAGGTGAGAGGGAAAAGATTTAAAAGGGACCTGAGGGGTAACTTTTTCACTCAGAGGGTGGCGCGTTTATGGAATGAGCTGCCAGAGGTAGGTATCTGGATGGGTATGTGAATAGGAAGGCTTTAGAAGAATATGGGCCAAATGCTGGCAAGTGGGACTAGATTAATGTAGAATATCTGGTCGGCATGGATTAGTTGTCCTGAAGAGTTTGATTCCGTGCTATACATTTCTATGACTCTGTGACTGACCTCAAAACTCCAGATATTGATTTAAAATTAATATTCACAGGTGTTATGAAGACACTTCATTATTAATATTTTGAGGTTCCATGTTTGATCGATTGTGTTGATACTCTGACGAAGAGTTACCTAGACTTGTAACGTTAGCTTGCTGCCTGACCCACTGTGATTTCCAGCATTTTTGGTTGGCTGAATATGTTCTGTTTTCACAAGAAACTGTTAGTTTTGCTGTTTATTAATAAAACCTGGCAGATAGGTCCTTTTATTGTAAACACAATATAGGCAAAGCATATAACTGGCCGTTTTGATAACTGGGTAAAATATTTAAATTTTATGTTATGACTAGTAGAATAGTAAGAGTAGAGAATGGCTCTTTTCCAACCTCGGTCGTAACATAGGTAAATAACAAAATGTGCTGCAGTTTGTCAAGTAGAGAAGGGCAGCTGGTGAGAATGCAAGCATTCCTCTGTAATCCAGGCAGAAGAGGTGCATTATAGCACCATCGCTGGCAGGAAGGTGTAATTATAGTGTGACATGTTTACATGGAGAATTTCCATTATAATTATAAACATAAGAATTTGAAATAGAAGCACAGGAATAAGGACCAAATATACAATTTTTAAGATTTATTTGTTCACGTGATGAGGGCATCACTGGCTAGCATTGGGCAGCATTGCCCATCGCTAACTGCCTTCAAAGGGGTGGTGGTGGTGAGCACCCCGCCCCCGTCCCCCCACCCCCCACCCCGCCACCTTTCTTGAACAGTTGCAGTCCTTGTGGTGTAGCGATGCCTATTTACAATAGAATTGTATTGAAACATAAGGCTGGTATTCTTAGCCAAGCTGAGCAGACAGGGAGTCAACCGGATTAGGTGGAATATCACTTTTCCACCACACTCAGTCCTCTCCAGGGAAGTCACTGGGGACTGATACTATCAGTTGAATGTAAAGCCAGTTTTGCACCCATGCAATCCAGGGGCATGTTAGTTTAAAGATGCGTGACAAGATTCTCATCAAAGATATAGAAAACTAGTTTCTTCTTCTTTTTGGGTAAATTCTTCCTTTCATTTTCCAGGATAAACCAATTCTTGCCCCGGAACCCCTGCTATTAGAAGGCCTGGAGCCACTATTTACACAATTAAACAACTGGAATTTTCCCATCTTTGATCTTGTCGAGATGACGGGCTCCAAGTGTGGCCGAATCCTCAGCCAGGTGAGTGTGTCTTTCTGTCATGCTGGAGTACGGCTGTTCTTGTAATTGTTACAGCATAGAAGAAAGCTATACCATCCATCATGCCTGTGCTCGCAATTAATGAGACAGACTCAGTTAATCTCATCTGTCTGCCTTTTCCCTGCCATACTGCAAATAGTGTCTGTTCAGATAATTGTTCAATTCCTTTTTGCAAACCATATCTGAATCTGCCTCCACCACATTGTCATGGAGCGCATTCCAGATCCTAACTACTTTCTGTAAAAAAAGGTTTTTCCAAACATTGCCTCCTGTTCATTTGCATGTTACCTTAAATTGATAGTTTTTGGCTCTTGATCCTTCTGCTAGTGGGATCATTTATACCATATCTACACTATCCAGATTCCTCGTGGACTTTGAATACCTCAAATCCATGTCCAGATCTATCAAAACGAATAGTGTTTCTACTGATACAGTTGCTCAAAGTAGGCAGGTTGTTTTTATAGATTTGGTTCTCCTTATCCCTAAGCAAATTTAAAATGAATTTTTTTTAATGAAGTAGATAAAAATCAGGTCTTTTCCCTGTCTCAGAAGACTATGTAGCAACAGAGAAAAGGAAGGGCAAGGTGTGCGGGTAGGAATGAATTAGAAATCTCTAGCCATGATGTTCCAACTGCCTTGTTTTGTGGGGCAGGCTTGATGTAGTAGATGGTCCTTTTCTTCCCATCAATATTGCATGTTTGTAATTTTTTTTGAAGCCATTGAATCTGAAGATAGAGTGCGAGGAGGGGTAAAACATACATGATAGGTGGAGATAGAGCCCTAGAATATCATCACATGGTGAACCCTTAATGAAAATATTACCAGGCAGATTACTTTTAGACCCACAGTGTGATCAAAAGCTGCCTCCCTCCATCCCTTAACGTTGAGAGTACTGGATCTGTGACACCCTGCTCTTACCAGAAATGGTGGCATTAGCTTCCTCGGATAACAGTCGGTCCTTGTCTTGCTGGACCTTCTCTAACTCCTGCTTATGTTGCCGTTGAAGTTCCTCCATTGCTTTCTGATGGGACTCCTCCATCTCCCTGAAGTTACGCTCACAGGTTTCCTGAAATTGAAGAGACTAGAGAGATAAGAGCCAAATATTGTGTGGGGCTAGGCAAAATAATCTCAGTACCATTTGGTTAAGCGAGAGGAGAAAGATGCACAGGGGCCTTTCATGTCCTGGAGTACAGAAAATTGAGGGGTTGATAATTAAAGGATTGATAGGATAGAGAGAAATTTCTTTGGCCGGGTGAGGGGAAGGAATGTGAGTCCTGAACAATAGAGGGCGTAATATTGAAATTCAAGCTGAGCTAATCAGGGACGATGTTTGGAAGCACTTTAAGCACTTTTTTCACTCAAGTGGGAAGAGAAATCTGGGACTCCAAGTGGCAGAAACACTTTTGAGGCAGGGAGGTGAAACCTAAAACATGACAGCAGGGATCGGTAGACTCTAGCTCAACAAGAGCTTTCAATGTGCAGAACCAAGGTGGATAAATGGAGTTAACGTACAGAGGAGCCAGATAATTGAATGTGGGAGGACAGGCCCTGGTAGATGAATGGTCTCCTCCTGTTCCTATGACTGTTTCCCAGTGATCCTCCTGGAAGAGGCGGCATGAGGCCATAAGATACCAGAGGCCAGTTTGTGTTACTTGCAGAATACGCCACCAAGCAGCTTGGAACACTACAAAGGCAACTTATATTTTGAAAGAGCATTTTACTAAATGTAAGTGAACATTCCAAGGAGCCTCCCTCGACCTCTTCATCTCCAACTGCCGTCGAACCCCCTCCTCCTGGACACCACCCCAAGGCCTCCTACCCTCCCTCGACCTCTTCATCTCCAACTGCCGTCAACCCCCTCCTCCTGGACACCACCCCAAGGCCTCCTACCCTCCCTCGACCTCTTCATCTCCAACTGCCGTCGACCATCCCCCCAGACCTCCCCCTTACTGAGGACGAATGGGCAGTCCTCAGTAAAGGGCTCACCTTTGTCCCCCTCCACCCACAGATCAACGAATATCGCTCACGCTTGGACATAGAGCAGTTTTTCCGCCGCCTCCGCCTCCACACTTACTTCTTCAACCGCGAGCCTAACCCTCCCTCTACTGACCCCTTCTCCCGCTTCCAACACACCCCCTCCTCCTGGACACCACCCCAAGGCCTCCTACCCTCCCTCGACCTCTTCATCTCCAACTGCCGTCGAGACATCAATCGCCTCAACCTCTCCACCCCTCTCACCCACTCCAACCTCTCCCCCGCAGAACGTGCAGCCCTCCGCTCCCTCTGCTCCAATCCCAACCTCACCATAAAACCCGCGGACAAGGGAGGCGCAGTTGTAGTATGGCGCACTGACCTCTACATCACCGAGGCCAGACGCCAACTCTCTGACACCTCCTCCTACTGCCCCCTTGATCATGACCCCACCCCTGAGCACCAAACCATCATCTCCCAAACCATCCACAACCTCATCACCTCAGGTGACCTCCTCCAACCTCATCGTTCCCCAACCTCGCACTGCCCGCTTCTATCTCCTTCCCAAAATCCACAAACCTGAATGCCCTGGTCGACCCATTGTTTCCGCCTGCTCCTGCCCCACCAAACTGATCTCCAACTATCTGGACTTCATTTTCTCCCCCTTGGTCCAGGAACTCCCTACCTATGTCTGTGACACCACCCACGCCCTCCACCTCCTCCAGAACTTCCAATTCCCCGGTCCCCAACACCTCATCTTTACCATGGACGTCCAGTTCCTCTACACCTGCATTCCCCATACAGATGGCCTAAAGGCCCTCCGCTTCTTCCTGTCCCGCAGACCCGACCAGTCCCCCTCCACTGACACCCTCATCCGCTTAGCCGAACTTGTCCTCACCCTCAACAAATTCTCTTTCAATTCCTCCCACTTCCTACAGACAAAGGGGGTGGCCATGGGTACCCGCATGGGCCCAAGCTATGCCTGCCTCTTCGTAGGTTACGTGGAACAATCCCTCTTCCATACCTACACTGGCTCTAAACCCCACCTCTTCCTCCATTACATTGATGACTGTATCGGCGCCGCCTCGTGCTCCCACAAGGAGCTCGAACAGTTCATCCACTTCACCAACACCTTCCACCCCAACCTTAAGTTTACCTGGACCATCTCTAATACCTCTCTCCCCTTCCTGGACCTCTCTGTCTCCATCTCGGGCAACTACCTAGAAACCGATATTCATTTCAAGCCCACCTACTCCCACAGCTACCTAGAATACTCCTCCTCCCACCCACCTTCCTGCAAAAATGCTATCCCCTATTCCCAATTCCTTCACCTCCGCCGCATCTGCTCCCCGGATGAGGCATTCCACTCCTGTACATCTCAGTTGTCCTCGTTTTTCAAGGACCGTAACATCCCCACCTCAGTGGTCGAGAACGCCCTCAACCGTGGCTCCCACATCTCCCGCAACTCATCCCTCACACCCCGTCCACGCAATAAGAACCAAAAAAGAATCCCCCTCGTCCTCACGTACCACCCCACCAACCTCCGGATCCAATGCATCATCCTCCGACACTTCCGCCATCTGCAATCCGACCCCACCACCAAAGACATCTTTCCCTCTCCACCCTTATCTGCTTTCCGGAGGGACCACTCTCTCCGGGACTCCCTTGTCTGCTCCACACTCCCCTCCAGCCCCACCAGACACGGCACTTTTCCCTGCAACCGCAGGAATTAGTACACCTGCCCCCATACCTCCTCCCTCACCCCCATCCCAGGTCCCAAGAAGACTTTCCACATCAAGCAGATGTTCACCTGCACATCTGCCAATGTGGTATACTGCATCCGCTGTACCCGGTGTGGCTTCCTCTACATCGGGGAAACCAAGCGGAGGCTCGGGGACCGCTTTGCAGAACACCTACGCTCGGTTCGCAATAAACAACTGCACCTCCCAGTCGCGAACCATTTCAACTCCCCCTTCCATTCCTCAGACGACATGTCCATCCTGGGCCTCCTGCAGTGCCACAGCTATGCCACCCGAAGGTTGCAGGAACGGCAACTCATATTCCGCTTGGGAACCCTGCAGCCCAATGGTATCAATGTGGATTTCACAAGCTTCAAAATCTCCCCTCCCCCTACCGCATCCCAAAACCAGTCCAGCTCGTCCCTGCCTCCGTGACCTGTTCTTCCTCCCACCTATCCCCTCCTCCCACCTCAAGCCGCACCTCCATCTCCTACCTACTAACCTCATCCCACCCCCTTGACCTGTCCGTCCTCCCTGGACTGACCTATCTCCTCCCTAACTCCCCACCTACACTCACCTTTACTGGCTCCATCCCCGCCTCTTCGACCTGTTTGTTTCCTCTCCACCTATCCTCTCCTCTATCCATCTTCTATCCGCCTCTCACTCTCTCCCTATTTATTTCAGAACCCCCTTCCCGTCCCCCTTTTCTGATGAAGGGTCTAGGCCCGAAACGTCAGCCTTTCTGCTCCTATGATGCTGCTTGGCCTGCTGTGTTCGTCCAGCCCTGCACCTTGTTGTCTCGGATTCTCCAGCATCTGCAGTTCCTACTTTCTCTGGCTGTAAAGGAGTCTGAGTTGTTATCACAGTTCATACTTCTGCCGACATGTTGTAGTTGGAGCTCTTGGTAATGATGTTAGCATCCCACCAAGGCTAATCCGCACAACCTGCACATCCTTGGATACTATGGGGCAATTTCACATGGCCAATCCACCTAAACTGCACATCTTTGGACTGTGCGAGGAAACTGGAGCACCCGGAGGAAACCTGCTCAGACACGGGGAAAATGTGCAAACTCCACACAGTCACCCAAGGTTAGAGTTGAACCTTGATCCCTGGTGTTGCGAGTGCCAGCCTCTGACCCATCAGCTGCCCTAAGTTTCTCCTGTTCTTACTACTTACCAATGGCAGATGTTGTAAGGATTCACAAGTTGATACACAACCTAATATGAAACCAAAATACTATTCTAAGGTACAGTTCCAAAGAAGAGTCATATTGGAGCCAAAGCATCATTTCTGTTTCTCCACAGAGTACCTAAAAGGAGGGTAAATTTTCATCTGGGAATTGTACGTAATTTGAAAAGGCAAATATACCAGACTTAATGGGTTTCTCCAGAACTTTCTTTTTTGACTTTGATTCTCAGCCTGTTTGGGCACATTTTAGAGTCATAGAGATGTACCAGCACAGAAATAGACCCTTCGGTCCAACTCATCCACGCCCACCAGATGTCCCAAATTAATCTAGTCCCCTTTGCCAGCATTTGGCCCATATCCCTCCAAATCCTTCCAATCATTTAGCATCCAGATGTCTTTGAAATGTTGTATTTTTAACAGCTTTCAGCACTTGATCTGATAGCTCATTCCATACACGCACCACCCTCTGCGTGAAGAGTTGACCCTTGGTCCCTTGTAAATCTTCCCCTCTCACCTTAAACCTATGCCCTCCAGTTTTGGACTCCCCTACCCTGGGGAAACAACCTTGGCTTTTCATCCTATCCATGCCCCTCATGATTTTATAAACTTCTATAAGGTTGCCCCTCAGCCTTTGATATTCCAGGGTATATAGCCCTAGTGTATTCAGCATCTTCCCTATAGCTCAAACCCTCTAACTCTGGCAACATCCTTGTAAATCTTTTCTGAACCCTTTCAAGGTTACCAACATCTTTCCTAAAACAGGGAGACCAGAATTGAATGCAGTATTCCAAAAGTGGCCTAACCAATGTCCTGTACAGCTGCAGCATGACCTCCCAACTCCTAAAGTCAATGAATTGACCAATAAAGGCAAGCATACCAAACGCCTTCTTCACTACCCTGTCTATCTGAGACTCCACTTTCAAGGAACTGTGAACCTGCACTGCAAGGTCTCTTTGTTCAGCAACACTCCCCAGGACCCTACCATTAAGTGTACAACTCCTGCCTTGATTTGCCGTACCAAAATGTAGCACGTCACATTTATCTAGATTAAACCCCATCTGTCACTCCTCAGGCCATCAGCCTATCTATTCAAGTGCTGTTGTACTCTGTGGTAACTTTCTTTGCTGTCCACTACACCACCAATTTTGGTGTCATCTGCAAACTTACTAAACATATCTCCTATATTCACATCCAGATCATTTATATAAATGACAAAAAGCATTGGACCCAGCACCAAAACTTGTGGCACACCACTGGTCACCAGCCCCCAGTCTGAAAAACAACCCTCCGCCACCACCTACCTTCGAGCCAATTTTGTATCCAAATGACTAGTTTTCCCTGTACTCCATGTGATCTAAACTTGTTAACCAGTCTGCCATGTGGAACCTTGTCAAATGCCTTACTGAAGTCCATATAGACAACATCTACTGCTCTGCCTGTCATCAATCCACTTCGTCAAAAAACTCAATCAAGTTAGTGAGACATGATTTTGAACGTGCTTTCTTCAGCCATCAAATCCAGGAGGGGGCCTTGAACCCAGAATCTCTGTTGTTGAGACTGGGATGCTACCCACTGTGTCACAGGAACATCCTTCATTTACCCACCTGTTATCCATTTGTATCGATGCTCTTCCATATCAAGTTCAATCCTGAGTGTAGTAAGTGTATATGGCAAATTTCGCAGCAGATTCATACCTGTGATCTCTTACAACTGAGCCTTCACCACTGAGAATCTGAGATGCCACTCGAGGGAGGGAGAATTAAAGACTGCAGTACTTTCCTGCACATCCCAATGGTTGATTATAATTTATTTCTAATTTTTTTCTTTATTGTGGGCCATTCACTTGTGTGTGGAAGTGGGCAGAGATGAGGGGACATGTAAATCTTAAGAAATCAAAAGTACTGGGAAGAAGTAATGGAAATCTCTGGGGCTAGATTAGCCTGGAGGTTACAGGAAGGTGCCAAGTTCTGACTCCAAGCAGTGTTCCATTTTTATCCATCACCACTTTCTCAAGAACAGTAAGATGATGGGCAGTTTTGACAGTGACCCCCCCAATCCTGAGCATGAATAAAAAAAAGCAGGTTCCAGACAAATTAGCTTTTCATATGCCTGCAGGAATTGAGAGTCATTAAAATCACTGTTGTTCCTTTGGTCTGTATTCCTGACTACCTGAAATCCATAGAAGGCGAAATAAAAAAAACGAGTGATATTTCCTTGTTTCCAACTTCATTCCAGCGCCGAATGCACTGATCAAAACGTTTCATGCAGAATAAAGAGGACTCGACACTTATAGCTCAGAGGTTTTGCTGCTCTACTTGAAAATGCTGCCTTTTTTTCAATGAAAGGATAATGCTAACAGTTTATTTATTCAGGAAGTGCTGAATTTCTTTAGTGCCTTTATTATTGAGCACCTTTGGCCATGCAGTAATTTAGAGTCAAGAACTTTATTGATAATGGCAAACACTGCACAGTATTCCAAGGTTATCTAGATATTAATTTGTGCTTGTGACCCGCATGTTCACTGGAAATAATTGGAGCAGAAAATAAAATGTCACCTCGTTCCTGACCTTGTGCAGATGCAAAAGGTTTTTACTTTTCCTTGTGACATGGTTTTAGACAGCTTTTTTTTATTTTGAGTTGGTGTGTTAGATTCCAATGTTAATAGGAATGGACATTTTTTACTGCAAGTCTACTTCAGATAAGTTATAACCATTTCACTTGTGGAGGATAGCATTAAGAATCAGTTACTTAAAAAGGGAAGAATAGAAGCAAATTGGCAGAGCACAGTTATGAGTTTGAGGGATAATTTGGATTGCCATTGTTATTAAAAGGAGCGTACTTTAAAACTGTTGTTTTCACAAGTTGTTCCATTCACTAATCAGGTAACTATTGAGTGATATATGGAGGACTGCCTATAATTACAATTTGTAATTAATATGTTTTGTTGTCTATGTATTGGAGTGGTACAATTGGTCCATTTCTTACATTCGAAAATATGAATTAATTTTCCGACCAGACCTTGAACCTACGCTCAGTGTAGCTGTTGAAGACAGTGTGAAATTGGATATACCTTTCCCTACAACTCATCAGTCCCAGTTTTCACTTTCATTGAGTTGTTCAAAATAAGGAAACAGGAGTGATGTGTAATACTTGGCCAATCTGGCATTGTATCCAACATGCTTACCATCAAAACTCAGGGTGACCCCAGTGTTCAAATCTTTCAGCACCGTTATCCCCCTTTGCAGGCAATATCAGATTCTCAGGTGTTCTATTCATACCTCTTCTGTCATATGTATGTTACAGCAGACGATCGCATCCCACACTGCTTGTAGATGGGGAGTTTAACCTGAGTCTGACCAAAAACAGTTCTTTGGCCATTCAGCAGCTGCCTATACCTTCCAGAGTAGCACAGGATGTTGAGGTCTTCCATCAATAACGGGTGAGATACTGACTCTCACTGTCAGTGGTGAATTTAATTATTAGCATAGGTTCAACTCCTTGGATCAGAAAAACATGGACCCTACACTGGTGGAGGAGCATAGCTCAGCGAAGCACTAACTAGTATAGTGGCACCACACAAACTTAGATACACTCATGTATGTCAATGTATCATGCACAAAATGGCTTCCACTTGCACACCTTCACATGTATTTTATATAAAATTTACGTACAGAGCGCATCAATTTGTATACTGCTGATGATGTTAAGTATGAATAGGATACAACATACTGTATATATTTGATGCTGTAGGAGCTTTGAGCCGTTGTTCAGAGATGGAAAGGTCAGTTTAACACTGCTCACACCACCAGCTTGAGCAGCTCAGATCCATATTAGAACACAGCCACAACAAAAGCTTTATACTGCAAATATTTTAAAAACAAGAGGACATATTTTTTAAAAAATCTGTTTTATAGCACAGAATAATTTATTCTCTGTGAAGTAGGTATCTTTGATATGTGTACAGAACAGAATGCTTGGAAACAGAGTGCACATTAATATCATAATTGTGCTGAACTTGATTTATCTTGCATCAGCTGCCAGTGCAGTCTTTTAAAAACACATTAGATTTGAATTGCCCACAATCTATTATGTTAATTTTGTCAATACTCATTGAAATTCTTCAAGCTATTTTGTGGCCATATTGGAAATATACTATTTTAGACAAGGAAAACACAAATGCACTTTTGTTGGGGCTGAATGGATTATACATATGACCCAGGACTGTCACATCAGGTACTTGAATTTGCAAGGGAAATGGTTTCTCTTTGGGTTATTGTCAGCATTAAATTAAGACCACTTGGAACATTTGGGCATTGGTGTATTTGTAGGGTCTGTAGATGATTCATTTCCGTTCTTTATTGCTCTTTTCCGTTCACTGATCATTGACTCTCTCTTGGTACAGGTGGCATTCAGACTGTTTGAAGACACTGGACTTTTTGAGATATTTAAAATCCCATTAAGGGAATTCATGAACTATTTTCATGCATTAGAAAATGGATACAGAGACATCCCCTGTAAGTATTCTCGTATTTTACTTTCCTTTCTATAAAAAAACTCACCCTGAAGTGTTTTCTTACCTGTCACATGGCATTAATGTGCTTGGTCTTACCTGGAGGTGTATGAACAGCAGATGAGGGGTATAAAATTCATCACCTGATCCCAAACCTCAAGCAACGAATCGATCTTGAGGGAAACACCAGCTCAAGGAGACGCGAGGGCCAGAGAAGTGGGATTGTATCACGGAGCCCAATTTCTGTTCCTTTTCAGCCAGATTCTTGCTCAGAATGCAGGGTCAATCAAACTATCCTTTACCGTTTAATGCAACACCACCATGCATCGCTTAGCTTTTGTCACCTTTTGTTTAGTCTGTGGATTATTGTGAAGAAGGTGCTTCCTATATTTGGTTTGTCGCTATGTCAATCTGGCATATGACATCACGCTACATGCTTACCCCAATAATAAGATGCAGGAGGATGTACGTAAGTGCACAGTAGTAGACAGTTGTGGGTTCAAGTCCTGCTCAGGGATGTAAGAACAAACTGCATGTTGACGTACAAGTGCAGTACTGAGGGTGTGCTGCAGTGCCAGGGATATCATCCTTCAGCTGAGAGATTTGTGTGCCATCAATGTATGTGTGGAAGTTCAATGAGGAGCTCGGGTGTTGTCCCTGAAGTTCCAGCCAATATTTATCCCAAACAGCACTATTTCAAACATTTCTGTTTGTGGAATCTTGCTGTGTAAATTGGTTGCTGCATTTCCCACATTCCAACTCTGAATAAATTATTCAATTTGTGCATAAAACAAATATTCAGCAAGTCCACTGTACTTCCAGAGGTAAAATCAGAAGCAAAAACATAACAAACTTGCAGTTTGCTCTAATTGACAAACTGAAAATTCAAGAAGTAAAGCTCCAGCACAGCTCTGCCATTGTTAGACCCTTCGCATTGCACATTCGACACCGACATTCTCCACGCGTGAACACAGGACCTAGGCTGGCTACCCCACTGTAGTAGTGACAGAGTACCTCACTGGTAGCTGCTGTTCCGTAGATCAGACTTCACACTTCAATCTTGTGCCATCTTCTTCCTTTCTTGTGGTTTATCACAATATTCCTCACTTGATGATTCATGGGTTCATTGCTTTTTGTTAGTGCCCTACTTAGTTAATGTGACTGTGGCTAACTGGAGGTGTATGTACAGCAAATGAGAGATATAAAGCTAATCATCTGATCCAAAACCTCAAGCTGTGAGTCTAACTCAAGGGAAACAAAAACTCAAGGAAACTTGAGGTTCAGAGAAGTGGGACCTATTATGGAGCCCAATTTCTGCTCCCTCTGTACCAAATTCCTGCAGTGACCTCTTGATATGACCAGTGATAGTCTGGCTCTTGTTCTCTGCACACAGTATTCTTTTCAGTTGAATGCTTCACTGGTGTCCAAAACCATGAAGCTTTGCTTTTGCACGTGTACACTACATACACTACTGTAATATACCGTGAAACTCAGAGACTCATTATTATTTATTATGTGTTACATCATCTTCTGCAGTCTCCATGCCATCTACAGTCTCCCTCCTGGGAAAATGTTTATCAGTATCTTCAGAAATTGGAAAATCATTGGGGTTGGTTGTCCACAGCAGTTGCAAAATGTGCACTTTGTTACTGTCTGGGACTGTCACCTCTATGCTACGGGACAATGATTAAGATCATAAACATTCCTTCCTTCAGCACTGCACTTTCACATTAAACCATTCACACTGTGATTCTCAGAACTCTGTTATTTTCACTTTAAACACTGCTTTCTTGTTTCCAGCACTCTGGAGATTGTTAAAGGGCGGCACGGTAGCACAGTGGTTAGCACTGCTGCCTCACAGCACCAGGGACTCGGGTTTGATTCCAGCCTCGGGCGACTGTCTGTGTGGAGTTCGCACATTCTCCCCGTGTCTGCGTGGGTTTCCTCCGGGTGCTCCGGTTTCCTCCCACAGTCCAAAGATGTGCAGGCTAGGTGGATTGGCTATGGGAAATTGCCCATAGTGTTCAGGGAGGTGTAGATTAGGTGGGTTACAGGGGAATGGGTCTGGGTGGGATGCTCTGAGGGTCGGTGTGAACTTGTTGGGCCGAAGGGCCTGTTTCCACACTGTAGGGATTCTATGATTCTAAATCACACTCACTTGGAGAAGTGAGCATACAGTGCAATTGGAACACCCCTGACAAAGGATTTTGGCCCAAAACATTGACTTTCCTGCTGTTTGGATGCTGTCGGACCTGTGCTTTTTCAGCTCTGCATTTATTGACACTGGGAAAGTTACGGGTTGTATTCAAGAAGTTAAACATTGAGGAAGTAAACATGGCAGGTTCTGCCATTGTTAGACCCTTCACATTGCACGTTCCACTCCTGCATTCTCAGACTTATCAAACTAGGTCACGCTTAAGTAGCCTATGACTTGTTTCAGAAACATGAAAGCATTGTTATTTGTAGCAGGTTTTGCCACCTTGTAAATTCCATTCATGGTTAGAAATGTCCTGCACCGCTGTATTTCATTGGAGTCTAACAGGATAGATATGAATAAAAGCAGATGAGGGCACTCCCACCCAGTAAAGTGATAACTGGCAGCCATTGAAGAACGGTGTGGCCTACCATTTGAAGGCTACTTGGAATGTTCTTTGCATCAGAGGAATACTGATCCCTCATTTCCAGAAATAAGCAGCAAATAAAAATAGAGAAGTGATAACAGCAATTCTGACAGGACAGATTAATGTTTTGAAATACAAGTTTTAATAAAGGTAAAAGAAATATCAGTCTTTCTTTCCTGCCTCCTGTCCCAATGAAGTAACCCCACCCCTGACTCTGGAACTACCACCACATACCTCTTGATCTCCCTTTCCTTCTGTAAGATCCTGATGGAACTCCTGTCTTTAATCAAAATATTGGCCGTCCCCTTACTAAGAACTGCTTGTTTGGCCCCGTTTTTGTTTTTGTTTTTGTTTCTCTTTACACCTTCTGTGAGTACCTTCAGTTTTCTAAAAAGACATCAAATGCTCCCATAGGTCTGACAGCCAATGAACTGCTCGAAGTGTATGACTGTGGAAACCATTGGAAGGTACATCCCCCAAATGTGCTAATGGCCAGATCATCTTTTAATGAGGTTGGTTGCAGATTAAATATTGGCTGGGACACTGGCGACACTTCTGCTGTGTTCCTTTGAAATAGCTCCATGGCATCTTTTGTGTCCACCTCAGAGAATAGACAGGCCTTCAAATTAGGATCTCTCCTGCACAATGGCAGCTCTGACTGTACAGCAGTATTGCCCTGAACTGTCAGCTCAGATTTTTGCCCAAGCCTCCAGACTAGAATTTGAATCCATAACCTTCTTCATCAGATCAGCAGTGAACCTCCCCTTTATCGAAGATACAGATGCCATCCTGCATGACCATGATCATGGTAAACTATTCTTCTTTAGCCTGCTCAACTTGTGTATAGCTTTGGCCCTGCTAAATTCTTCCAACATTGCCCCCTGTCACCAACGAGATGGCCATGGTGTGGAGGTGCTCGTGTTGGACTGGGGTAGACAAGGTCAGAAATCACACGCCACCAGGTTATAGTCTAACAAGTTAATTTGAAAACACAAGCTTTCAGAGCCACAGTCCTTCTAACACCTGAAGAATCTGGTGTCGTGTGATTTCTGACCTTAACCAGCTAGATGGAAATGCACATATCTGGTTTCATTCTGTTCTATCCAATCACAGCTAGACTATCACCAAAAGTGGCTTCTGTTCTCTCTCCATTGCCATTACCTCGCGGTATCCCTCAAAGATCTGTCTTTTATCTGCTCCTACGTCTCATCAATGAAAGCTGCACAACAATATCATTTAAAAACACGACATTAGGCTCCACTTTGTGCTAGTTGACCCTCCATGGTACCTCACCATCTTTCAGTTTGAGTCCTCCACCAGTCGCTTGAGGGTTAAAAGAAAGTAGGGTTTGTTGTTGCGTTCAAAACCCTGGGGGAATGGCTCACAACACACGTTCATAAAAGCATGCATCCAAGAAAGAAATGAAAATTGTAAAGCAGCTCATCCGACATCTAAGACCAGAACAAAAAAATGTTTCAACTAGTTAAGTATTTGGAAAAATGAAGCCATTATATTTGAACCTTCCTGCCGAAAGAAAACCAGGGAACCGAGGAGTTAAAAGGAAAATACTCTGGACTTTTTCCAGACTGTGTGTTGACAAGATCCCATAGCCATAAGCTAAAACAAGAAGGGAAAACAAAATGAGAAAGATGAAGGGGTTGAGGTCCAGTTAGCTGACACTCTGGTTTGATGAAATGGTAAAGGGAAAGCCTAAGCAGGTAGGGGATCAGACACAGGTGTTTAGTTCTGAAAGGTAAATGGAATTACAACAAAAAGGTGGGACGATGAAGAATTTACGTCATAAAGCCTACTCGGAAAAGAAATCAGAATGTATTCCAGAACGTTATTACCTTAAGGATAAAATCTTAAGGCAAAAATGGAGACCTTGGTAGGTTAGTGCAGATGAGAAATGGGCAGATGTTCACCAGATTATGTTGTCGGTAACTTACAGACAGAAAGTATTGTGGGTAGCACATGAATTACCTGTAGGAGGTCATCCAGGAGTGAGGAAGACTCAGGCTAAAATACAGAACATTTCTATTGGCCTGGATTACATAAAGATGTGGTTGAACTTTGCCATACCTGCCATACGTGTCAGATGGTAGGAAAGCCACAGGCAGTAATAAAACCAGCGCCTTTGATGCCAATTCCTGCATTTGAGGAACCTTTCATGCGAATGATTGTGTGGCTCCCTTTCCTAAAACCGAAAGTGGTAACCAGCATTTGCTAACCATAGTGGATATGTCCACCAGGTTTCTGGTGGCAATTCCATTACAGAATATCAAGGCAAAAAAGGTTGTGGAGGAGTTGCTTGCTTTCTTTACCCATTGTGGACTACCCAGGGAGATTCAGTCAGACCAAGGGTCCAATTTTACTGCCAAACTATTTAAGGAGGTCATGGATAGTTTAGGCATCAAATACCTTACATCAAGTGCTTGCCATCCTGAATCCCAGGAAACATTAGAAAATTGGCATCAGACATAAAAGACAATGCTGAGGGCTTATTGCCAGGATTACCAAATGATTGGGATAAAGGTATCTCATTTATATTATTTGCTGTTAGAGATGGTCCAAATGAACCGACTCAGTTTCCTCCATTTGAATTGATATTCAGACACAAAGTAAGAGGGCCTTTAAAATTAATTAAGGAAATGTTGATTGGTCCAAAGTCTGAGATCTCACAGTTGGATTACATATCTGAGGTGAGAGAGAGATTAAACAGAGTAAGTGAATTAGCTAGACAACATTTGAAGGTGGCACAGCACATAATGAAGCAAGAAGCCGATAAGAAATCTAAAATTCATACCTTTGCCCATGGGGATAACGTATTGGCGCTATTACCACTGGTAGGAGATGCCTCCAAAGCAAGGTTTAGTGCTCTCTATCAGATTGAGAAGAAGTTAAGTCAGGTGAATTATCTGGCAAAGACGCCAGATAGGAAAGAAGTTTATTGGGTATGTCATGTGAACATGCTGAAATCTTACTATGATATGGAAAAGGAACAGGAGAAACAGATACTGGTTACTGCCACTCAGTGAAGAATAAAATCCAGATGATTTGGATCTTGATGTGCCTCAGAATAAATTGAATAATGAGGAAGTCCTTAAAGAATGGGATAGGATAGTGAGCTATCTGTCCCCAGAACAGAGAACTGAACTGAAAGACTTGTTTCAGTGCTATGATGACATATGTAGAAATAGAATGAGGAGGACTGATACTCTAGTGCATGAGGTTGATGTAGGGAATGCTATTCCAATAAAATAACACCCCTACAGGCTTAATCCTCTCAAAACAGTGCAGGTTTAGAAGGAAACGGAAGCAATGCTCCAAGAAGACATCGTTCAAGCTGAGTCAAAGCGAGTGGAGTTTGCCAAACATGTTGGTTCCCATATCTGATGGTACTCGCCGATTCTGCGTAGATTAACAGAAGGTCAATTCCATGACTAAATCAGATTCATACCCCAATCCCAAGGCTGAAGGACTGTGTGGAAACAGTAGGACAAGCCGCTTACATTATGAAGTTGGCCTTACTTTGTGGTTACTAGCAAATACCTTTGTCGGAGAGAATGAAAGAAGTTTTGGCTTTTGTGACCCCAAATGAGCTGTATCAATTTAAAATAATGTCCTTTGGGATGAAGAATGCACCAGCCACTTTTCAAAGACTTATGAACAGAGTTGTTGCAGGATTGTGCTGTCTACATAGATGACTTAGTGATCTTTAGCCATTCTTGGAAAGACCACATGGAGTATTTGGCAGAGCTCTTTGAGAGACTACGGAAGGCAAAGTTGATCGTAAATTTGGCAAAAACAGAATTCGTGAAGGCAGAGTGATGTTCTTGGGGCGCAATATCAGACACGGGTTGATGTCACTGAGGAACGTGAAGACAAAGGCCATCCTCGAAGAAGGAAGTGCTACAATTTTTAGGACAGAGCGGGTTCTACAGGAAATTTGTACCAACCTTTGGCAGAAATGTGGCACCGCTGACGGGTTTGTTAAACAAAACACGAAATTCCAGTTGACAGAAAACTGCCAGGAGGTATTTGAGAATTTAAAAGCAGTGTTAACCACTGCGCCAGTTTTAGCGACACCAAGTTTCTTGAAACCCTTCAAAGTCACCATCGATGCAAGCAATGTAAGTGTTGGAGCTGTGTTGTTACAGGAGGATGTCGGTGTTGGAGCTGTGTTGTGACAGGAGGATATGAGTATTGGAGCTGTGTTGTTACAGGAGAATGATTGTGGGATTGAAAGGCCAATCAGTTATTTTTCAAAAAAACTCAATATCCACCAGAAAAAATATTCAACCATTGGAACAGTTATTGAGTTTGGTAATGGCCTTACAACATTTTAATGTTCATGTTGCAAACAATGCATCAGTGATGACACAGTGTGGAGCTGGAGCAACATAACAGACCAAGCAGCATCAGAAGAGCAGGAAAGTTGACGTTTCAGGTCGGGACCCTTATGAAGAAGGGTCTGGATCCGAAACATCAACTTTCCTACTCCTCCGATGCTGCCTGGCCGATGTGTTCCTCCAGCTCCACACTGTATTATCTCTGACTCCAGCATCGGCAGTTCTTGCTATCTCCTTGTCAAACAATTTGTCTTATTTTTAATCAACAGATCATAATCGCATACATGCCACTGATGTGTTACATGCAGTCTGGTACCTCACCACGCAGCCAGTCCCAGGACTTCAGACGGCAATGAATGATCATGGCTCAATGAGTGATTCAGGTACAAGTATTCAGAAATGAAGATCATTTCTTTTCTACTGAAGGATCAAAAGTACTTAACAGCTGCACTGTATTGTGTATATTTCCACCAATCTTTAAGAATTTGGTTGTGTGGGGCAGCCTTTTAATATTTAAGGGTTTATTTTTCTCGGAGTGCTACTTTAATTTGAAAACGGTGGATGGACGCATTAAAATAATTTAGATGATATTTTAATACTACTGCAATAGCCACTGGACTAAAAATGCTACAGTTGAAATGAAAACCTTAAGTGCACCATTCCTGATCATACCACAATGTAATCCTGTTTATTTCACTTGCAATTATGTTCACTAAAAGTGGATAGCGTTGTACAATGCAAAAAGTATTTGAACTAAGCTAAAATGGTACCTTGTAGAACAAGTTAGAGTCATAGATTCATACAGCAAGGAAGCAGACCCTTCAGCCCAACTCACTCAGGTTTCCTAAACTGTACTAGTCCCATTTGCTGGCATTAGGCCATATCCCTCTAAACCTTTCCTGTCCATGTACTAATCCAAATATCTTTTAAATGTTTTATTTTACTCACTTCTACCACTTCCTCTGGCAACTCGCTGCATATACACACAACCCTCTGTGCGAAAAAGTTGCGCCTCAGGTCCCTTTTAAATCTTTACCCTCTACCCTTAAACCTATGCCCTCCTGTTTTGGAATCCTACCCAAGGGAAAAGACCTTGGCTGTTCACATATCTCTGCCTCTCATAATTATGAAAGAACAGAAACAGGAGTAGACCATTCTGTGTCATTTAATATGATCATGACTGATTAAACTCATCAGTGATTTTTGCCCACACTATCGCCATAACCCAGTACAGCATTGGTAATTAGTGAAAGGCGTCTACTTCCCCCTGTCACTTGTTAAATAATGGCAGAGGCTGCATGAGGCCATTGCATGGATGTTAGCTGGCCACTTTAAGGGCCTGAACAGGAAAAAAGGAAGGGTGGTCTGCCTGACGCCTTCCCCAGCCTCTGTAACATGGGGAAGGGTCAGGGTCCACTTGTTTCATCTTATAATCTTCCCCCGGCTTCAAATATGCTGGTTCAGGGCATAAAACCCACCCCGTAGTGAAATTCCTTCAAAATCCACACATGGTTCGTGCAGTCACAGTTTCAACTTCTCCTGTTACTTTCCTTTACATGAATCCAAAGAAGGTCCTTTCCTTCAGTCTGACATATCTGTTGCTCTCCTCAGTATCCGTATCATCAAAGGATTATGATGTTAGTTGTTTTATTCCAACTTGATTCACCTCTTCAAAAGGATTAAGATTTCCATATTTCTGCTTGCAGTGGTTTTGTGATTGATTCCGGGTTTTTCATATCATTGTCACTGAATCCCTTCTATATATATTCATGTGTCTTGATAGATTGCAGAACCTCCTGGTAACAGTCCTGTGCACAAATTTGCCTTTAAGTCATTCAATTTGTAGTCCCCTTGTGCTACCCTCTTAGCCTCGTATCCTGGTTTTAATAACCGTCATGGAAAATGTCTCTTCACTGAACTCATCTGCTCTCCCTACCAGTCTCCTCTCTCAAGAATCTCTAGAATGTATCACCAGGACAAATTTCGCCATCTGATGGGTGACTTGACAACGTCCTCTTTGAACAATGGCCACATTGGCATCCCACTCTTCAGCTAAGTACTAATTGACACCCATTCTGCTGCATTACTCATTGATTAAACTATCCTTATCCCTGATCATTCTGATAATTCAGGTAATTACCTAGATTGCATTCTTACCTTTGTCTCAAAGTCTACCTGTAGGTGCTCTTGGGGCATAGTGAGAGCACCCATTCCTTTGAACCAGAAGACACCCTGTTCAAGACCCCCCTCCTCTAGAGGGGTGTCTTAACATCTCTGAATAGGTCACTTAAAGAAAAGTCTTTATCTCTTTTTCTGACCAATGTCACATATTGTTCTTCCACAGGATGTCTTTTTTTCCCTTTATTCATTCACGGGATGAGGGTCTCACTGGCTAGGCAGCATTTATTGCCCATCCTTAATTTCCCAGAGGGTCATTAAGAGTCTACCACATTGCCGTGGGTCTGGAGTCACATGTAGGTCAGACCAGGTGAGGATGGCAGTTTCCTTCCCTAAAGGACATTAGTGAACTAGATGGGTTTTTCCCCAACAATCGACAATTGATTCATGGTCATCATTAGACTCTTAATTCCAGATATTTATTGAATTCAAATTCCCACCATCTGCTGGCAGGATTCAAACCCAGGTCCCCAGAACATTATCTGGGTCTCTGGATTAGCGATTAATACCACTAGGCCATTGCCTCCCCTCCTAAATCAAGCAGTAAATATATTTGATACTATTTGTGAATATGTCTTGCTCTTTCTTGGTCCAACTGTCCCATTCTTCTGACCACTAGCCTCAATGCCAGTGAAGTAATTGATGTTAATCTTGCTGCCATGGAACATTCTGTTGGATCTGATGTGGAATTAATGTTCAATCATACTTGTCCTTCTGACTCATAACGAGATTGCCCATCACATCCTTCACAAGCAGCAGTCTGAAACATTCCAACCAATTTACCTCTTTATAGAGGGAGGAAATTCATTCATGCTTCTGGCGGCTCTAAATAGATTTACTTTGATTTTCCAGGCAGACGTTTGCACAGACCAATACCTGTGCATCCCACACTGCATTTGTTCCTGATATTCTCCCTCTCAGTATTTGCGAAAAGCCTCTTAAAGAATTTGTCAAAATTTGAGAGAAGCCAAAGTGAGGTGAGAAGAAATCGTTTTCACATAGCAGGTGGTTACGATCTGGAATGTACTGCCTGGAAGCTGTAGTGATTATTGCAAGGACTCCATAGAATAGGAGTTTCCTGATTGAGGCTCTTAATCTGGTCCAATCAGGGAGCCCTGGCTGACAGATATAAGCAGGCATGTCGGACATCTGTTTAGCCTGGGAGCTGGTTCTGAGGGAACTGGATCAGTTACAAGGACTCTCCACATGTAAATAAAAGGGTGACTTGGTAACAGGATATTGGCATTTGTGGAGTTATTTCAGAAGTATGGTGGAGGTGGGCTCAATTGAAGAGGAGGATTGGATGATAATTCAAATAGAAACAATGTGTAATGTTTCATTGAAAGGGCAGGAGATTGCCACCAAGTCAAAAGGCTCAGAAAGCTTGTGCAGACACGACGACTAGAATCTTTTTTTTATGTGGATGCCCCATAGAAAGCGTTCTATCTGGGTGCATTTCAGCGTGGTTTGGCAACTGCTTTTCCCAAAACCACAAGAAACTGCAGAGAGTTGTGAACACAGCCCAGTCCATCAGGCAAACCTGCCTTCCATCCATTGACTCCATTTACACTTCCCGCTGCCTCAGGAAAGCAACCAGCATAATCAAAAACCCCTCCCACCCCCGTTATACTCTCTTCCACCGTCTTCCATCAGACAGAAGATATAAGAGTTTGTATACGCTTATGAATAGATTCAAGAACAGGGGGCAGCACGGTAGCTCAGTGGTTAGCACTGCTGTCTCATAGCACCAGGGACCCAGAGTTGATTCCAAACTCGGGCGACTGTCTGTGTGCAGTTTGCACGTTCTCCTCATGTCTGCGTGGGTTTCCACTGGGTATTCCTCTCGCAGACCAAAGATGTGCGGGTTAGGTGGATCGATCATGCTAAACTGCCTTTCGTGTGGGCTAGGTGGATTAGTCATGGGAAATGTAGGGTTACAGGGATTGGGTAGGGGGTTATGTTTGGGTGGGATGCTGTTTGGAAGGTTGGTGTGGACTCAATGGGCCGAATGGCCTGCTTCCACACTGTAGGGATTCTATGATTCTAAGAAGAGCTTCTTCCCCGCTGTTATTAGACTTCAGAATGAACCTCTAAAATTTTAATGTTGATCTCCCTCTTTGTGTACCTTCTCTGCAGCTATAACATTGTATTCTTTGCTCTGATCTATTACCGTAATGCACTTTGTATGGTATGATCTACCTGTGCTGCACACAAAACAAAACATTTCACTGTACCTAGGTACATGTGACAATAATAAACTAAACCAAATCAAAGAATGAGGCCTCTATCTGCACTGTAACATTTCTGTACCTCTGTGATTGGCAGCTACCTCTTCTGGTCTTTTGCCAAAGCTTTTCTAGTTGCTTGACAAATCATTTCTTTTACCTTTCTATTATTCTCAACATACTGCAAATTAGAAAGAAAAACAGAAATTGTGGGAAAAACTCAGCAGGTCTGGCAGCATCAGTGGAGAGAAAGCAGAGTTAACATTTTGGGTCCAGTCACCCTTCTTCATTCCTGCTGAGTTCTGTTTCTGATTCTGATTTTCAGCATCCAGAGTTCTTTGTTTTTTTTTCATCTCCACTAGGCCTGAATATCAACAGATCTTTGGTTTTATTAGTAGCTCTCTTGAGTCCGAATGCTTTATTTCTGACCCATGATAAATTTCTAAGCTCTCTAACTCTCAATCCACTTTTCTGTTTCTGTGGTTATCTTCTTGAGTTTATTTCATTTAGACAAATCATCAATGCTGGTAGATTGGTCCTTTCTAAGGATTCTGCAACTTTTAAATTATATATCTCTTTGAAATATCTGGTCTAATCTGTGATTGTCAGCATTTGTGTTAAAATTATTGCCCTACTGTTGATCTTTGTTCAAACCATTGTAATTCTGTTCTCAAATTCGAAGATGATTGTTCTATTATTGCACTAGACATATGCAAAATACTTTGACATTTTCTGAGAAGGTAACACCATAATCTTTGTCACTGGTTATCTTGCATTTTCATGAATATTTCAGACTGTGTTTTAATTTATCATTGAATCCCATTGATGTGTGATTCTCCAACAGTTCCACAGGGCTGTGTCTTATCTCTCACGGTTGAATTAGAATTAGAATCCCTACAGTGTGGAAACAGGCCCTTTGGCCCAACAAGTCCACACCAAACCTCACAGCATCCCACCCAGATCCATCCCCCTATGACCCACCTAATATACACCCTCTACCTCCCTGAACACTAGGGGCAATTTAGCATGGCCAATCTGCCTAACCTGCACATCTTTGGACTGTGGGAGGAAACCGGAGCACCTGGAGGAAACCCACGCAGACACAGGGAGAATGTGCAAACTCCACACAGACAGTCACCCAAGGCTGGAATCGAACCCAGGTTCCTGGCGCTGTGAGGCAGCAGTGCTAACCACTGTGCCACTGTGTCAATTAATTTTACTTACCATCAAGGTATTCTTCTCTACAGTATTATTTCCCTCCAAGTCTGAGGTATGGAGGTTGCATTGTTTCAACTTGAACTTCTTGCCTTTCAATATGACAATGAGATTCTTCATGTCTGTCTCACAAATCTAAACACCTTCTCCTTTGATAACTTCATTCTTAGGCTTGCTCCATCTTTCAATTTTCTTGGGCTCGCGAGGTTAGGTTCATCACCTATCACTCATTAAGTAGGCAATGCCAGCACAAAATATCAAGTACATTTCCCCACTTTCTGTTCTTAAGTTAGTATATTTGGAAGTCTTTACTTGGAGCAAGTACACCTTACAACCTCAAGTGAAAAGAATTTAGATTTCTTCAAATGCTAAAATGAGCCCAAGAGGATTGCTTCCTGTTTGACATGAAACCGGTCTTTTCTCTTAACGTTCCGAAACTAACATTTGCATATTGCTTTCCCATTTGGGGAAAACTCCTTTGACATTGTTGTCATTCTTTTGGATGGGATACAGGGTAGATAAGCACCTCCTCTTCCAGCCGTTGTCTCTGATGTTGTTCCATCGCAGCCTTTAATTTAACCATTCGCTATTTTAGCAAAGATATTGTGACTACTGGTAAACTGCAATGTCTTCTTTTGTAGGTTCCTACTTGCAATGCTTCTTTCTGACCTGCTCCACTCTCCCCTTACATTCCCATTTAAGTCAAGGTTCACTATCGAAGCAAACTCCTCCCTCCTCAGTATCCAAGGACCCAGACACACCTTCCAGATGGAGCAGCACTTTACCTGCCTTTCACTCAATCTAGTCTACTGCATTCGCTGCTCACAAACTGGGGAGACAAGTGCAGACTGGGTGACCGCTTTGCAGAACACCTATGTTCTGTCTGTAAAAATTACCCTGAGCTCAAGGTTTTTGAGAAGATTTGTAGCTCGGGTTGTTGATGCGGTTGTCGACTCACTCACCGAGCTGACAAGCTTGTTCGCAGGCGTTTCGTTACCATACTAGGTAACATCAAGCATTGGTGTTCTGTCCGATTTGCTATTTATGTGTCTCAGTTTGCTGTGATGGGTGGAATCACTTCTGGATTTGTTTCTTAGTGGTAGGTATATGGGGTCCAGCTCTACGTGTTTGATAATGGAGTTCCGGTTTGAGTACCACGCCTCCAGGAATTCTCGTGTGTGTCTTTGCTTGACATATTCTAGAATGGCTACGTTATCCAAGTCGAATTGGTGTCCCTCTTTGTCCATGTGTATTGAAATGAGTGATAGTTGGTCATGTCTCTTCGGAGCTAGTTGGTGTTCATGAATCCTGATGGCTGGTTTCATTCCGGTTTGCCCTATGTAATGCAATAAAGACTGTCAAAAATGTTACAGGGTATGTTGCCTGCCATTTCAACACACCACTTTGTTCTCTGGCTCAGGTTTGCAGCAATGCTCCAGTGAAGCTCAGTGCAAGCTAGAAGAACAGCACCTCATCTGGGAACTGTACAGCCTTCTGGACACAATATTGAGTTCAACAATTTTGGGGTCTGAGCATCTTCTCCCATGTCCTTATTCCAACCCCCACATACCAGGTCCTGTTATCACATGGGCTGTTATCACAAAAAACCCATTGTCAGCCTCTAATGGTCCCCATTAGCAATTATTCAGTCTCCCAGGCTGACCTTTACCCGTTCCTTTGTCCAACTGTTGATCTCTCTCTTTGAACTCCATCTCCACCTATCATTTACTCCTTCCCCATCTTCAGCATTTATACCAGCCTTCTAGCTACAATCAGTTCTGAAGAAGGGTGACTGGACCCGAAACATTAACTTTGCTTTCTCTCCACAGATGCTGCCAGAGCTGCTGAGTTTTGCCAGCAATTTCTGTTTTTGTTTCTGATTTCGAGCACCTGCAGTTCTTCGGTCCTTTTGAATAAAGTACCTTACTTTTCCTCTTTGTTTCCCAATGTGAAATCGGATCTTTGTTGATGCTTTTCTGAGTTGTACAACTTAATGAGGAGTAGAGGGAAGTATTTTTCAAGAGGAGTGGAGAAATTTCCTTCAGCCTCGCCAACCCCACTCCCTGCCCTACCTCCATCCTGATGTTGAGTTTCTGAGAGATGTCTATGAAATAACACCCTGTATCAGACAATGGAGTTTTCACTGATGTTTAGCCGCTTCAATACACAGAGCTTATTCTATCAGACACTGGCTGCACTTGTTTTAAAAATCCTTCAAAATATTTGATAGGCTTAGTAATTATTTGCAAACTGCTGCCATCTGAAAACTGTGTGGAAAGGGTTTAAGCTTGTATAGTGAGGAAGAGGCAACAACAGGACTTTATATTTGTATGGCGCCTTTTGTGCAGTTAAAGAAAATCCCAAAGTTCTTCGTCAAAGCTTAATCAGGATTTGGCACCGAGCCGCTAAATGAGAAACCGTGGAAAGCAATCAAAAGCTGGGTCAGAGAATGTGGATTTATGAAGGAAAAAGAATTTCAGAGCTTAGAGACATTCTGTAAATCACGGGGCTGTACTTCTGCAATCTAATTCTCCTCCAAATGTTTGTTTAGATTCAGACAGTGGGATCACACATGGACACATGGGATATGCCGTATCGAAAACGTACAATGAGACAGAGAACAGATATGGTTGTGTTATTGCCAATGTTCCTGCCTTGGAGTTGATGGCCCTCTATGTTGCTGCAGCTATGCATGATTATGACCACCCTGGAAGAACCAATGCCTTTCTAGTGGCAACAAGTGCACCACAGGTATGGCAAGATGCAAGTAAGGCTTCCATTGTGCAATGACAGTTTCATGTTTTCAAACTCTTAGAGTTTATTTTTATTGTTTGACATCAGACGTGCCTCAGGATTTCGAGCGATGCAGTTAGTAAAATGTGCGAATACAGCCGCAAGGCAGAGAGGGATCATTGTCGCAACTATGCAAAGCACACAATTATTCCACAGAACACAATTGAAATAACTCCGTGACGGCCGGTATCCATCACTCTTTACTTACACGTGCGCAGTACATGACACCGACCCAGCTGGTTTGGAGCTGGCTCCTAGAGTGAGCAGAACCCCTGACTCTCCACTTTATATCTGTCAGCCAGGGCTCCCTGATTGGACCAGATTAACAGCCCCAGTCAGGGAACTCATATTCTATGATGTCTATCTGGCTGACCTCGTTACAATCACTGCAACAATGACAACTTTTCATTTCAATTATAGATATGGGTGGTCCACTGGCTTAGAAACTGGCCTTTTACCTCTGGAATTTGGCTTCAACTCGAGCCCAAACTCACTGGACAAAGTTTTCTTGGTATATTTACTGGAAGAGATTCACTTTCAATCTAATCCTGTCCCTAACTCAGTATTAGCAGTGTCGCTCATACAGCATTTTTGTTCACAATTATTAATGCAGGGCAACTACACACTGTTATAGTAGACACTAGTTTTTTTTTAAATAGAATCATTTCATGGTTTTAATCCATTATTTCCTTATTGGGAGGCAACAGCTTGTCATTTCAAGCTTTCACCATGTCCCGTGCTGTGATCAGTTTAAGTCCCTCTCCATTAATGCACGCTTGCCTTATCATTGTTTGTGGAAAGTGCCAACTGTGGCTCAGTGTTGACTTTCTAGCCTCTCAGTCTGAAGCTTGTGGGGTAAGGCCACATTGCAGAGATTGAGAATGATTCAGGTTGGCACTCCCACGCAGTAGGAAGAAAGTGCTACCCTGTCAGAGGTGCTGCCTTTCGGATGAGACATTGAACAAAGAGTCTGCTCACACTCTGGGCATAAATAATCCATTGGCGTTAATTTGAAAAAGAGCAAGGATGTGTCCAGACCAAGATCACTGAAACAAGTTAGTGGCCATTTTATTGCTTTCAGGGTGTTAATGTCAAAGGACTTGCAATCCAGAGATTCAAGCTGATGCCTAAAGACTTGAGTTCAAATCCCACCACAGCATCAGGAGTCTAATCAAAAAAAATACAGCCAAGAGTAGTCACATGGTCCTTGTTCCTGTTTATGTCACTACCTTCTTAACTCAACCAAGACATAGGACCAAACTTCTTCACTTCCTGAAATTTTTTAAATGTTGAAAATAAGAATAAAAGTTCGATCTTTCAAAAGCAATGCTTCCAAGCTGAGACCTAGATGGACAATTTCCTCCCCACTCCACAACCCATCCTGACTTGGAAATATCGCACTGTGACTGGGTCAACATCAAAGAATTCCCTTCCTAATAGCACTGTGGGTGACCCTACACACAAGGACTGAAGCGCTTGAAGCAGCTCACTACCACCGTCTCAAGGAAGTTAAGGATGGGCAATAAATGCTGGTCTACTGAACGATACCTAGGTCCCAAGAAGTAATTTTTAAAAACATGCTGCTGGTCATGTTTAGTTTGTTGATTCCATTCTTGTGTAATATTAAGTGCAGCCTTGATGATCAACATATCCTGACATACAACTAGCCTTAACTTTGACCCACAATTTACGCACCTACTAGGGAGATAACTCCAGTTGTGTTTCATTGCAGGCTGTTCTATATAATGACCGCTCAGTATTGGAGAACCACCACGCTGCATCAGCATGGAACCTTTTCATGTCACAACAGGATTACAACTTTTTGATCAACTTGGACCACGTTGAATTCAAGAGATTCCGATTTCTTGTGATTGAAGCCATACTAGCCACAGATCTTAAGAAACATTTTGACTTCCTTGCTGAGTTCAATGCCAAGGTAATCTGGTTAATCTGGATTCGTTGGTCATGGTTTTTGATCGAATGATATTGGCAACCTCAAATGAGGATCACTTTCATTGAAAGTTTGGTCAGTGAAAACCAATGATCACAACAGAGTCACAGAGTCATACAGCACGGAAACAGACCCTTCAGTCCAACTCGTCCATGCTGCCCAAATCTCCAAACTAAATTAGTCCCACTTGACCGCATTTGGCCCGTATCCCTCTAAACCTTTCCTATTCATGTACCTATCCGAATGTCTTTTCAACGTTGTAACTGTGCCTGCAACTACCGCTTCCTCCGGCAGTTCATTCCAAATACGAACTACTCTCTGTGTGAAAAAGTTGCCTGTCAGGTCCCTTTTAAACCTTTCTCCTCTCAAGTTCAAAAATATGCCCCCTAGTTTTGAACTGTCACAAGAGTAATTACAGGCAAAAAAGCCACTCCTGGCTCTTCAAAAAATAATTTAGAGTTCCTGGTTTCAACTGTATCCAAATGATTTGATTGCTTTTGGCTCTAGTACTTCATTCCAAGAGACCATCCAATGTGTTCAGAACAGTTTGTGTGAGGATGAATTTTCTGATATTAGTTTCAGTTTTCTCTTTTACGACTTAGAAGCCAGTGTCCTACATTCCCAACTTGATTCATAATCAGTTTATCATTATGTGCACCTCTGTAAAATCAGGGGAGACTGCAGTATAGTGACAATGTCATTGGATTGGTCATCCAGATACCCAGAGCAACTCTGGGACATGGGTTCAGATCTCATTGGTGGAATTTGAATTCAATTAATAAATCAAATTAATGAATATAAAGTTAGTCTCAGTAATGGTGAGCATGACAACTATGATTGATTGCTGTGCAAAACCATTTGGTTGACTAATGTCCTTTAAATAGCTAAGCAAGCAACTCAGTTCCAGGGCAATTTGGAATGCTGGAATCCCATGAAAGAACTTTATTGTTTCAAATACTACCCTCCAAAATTGAGATGTCTATGTAACTCAAACTTTTGACACTCTGCATTGCATCCAACACGTAAACATTGCCCTTATCTGTAAGTGGACCAGAACTGGACATAGTACTCAAGGTGTATTTGAACTACCCCACTGTACCTTTTGAATCACAATCTTCTCTGGCTTATTTTATTTTTGTCGTTTCTTAGTTCAATGCTTTCTTGAAATTGTTGATCACAGCATTGTAATGATTGAACACTTTGTTCTTGTACATCTAAGCTGTCTTTCAGGTCTGTTTCAGTTTCATCATTAAATTTGAAAGCACCATTCATTCAGTATATATGACAACTTTACTTTGCACGTTTGGTCCTCCACAACTGTTCATCCCTAATTTCTTCTCCGTTTGTACTGACCACTAGAATATTTTATCCAATATTTTCTGTGCTTTGACATTACCATCCCTAATTCCGTTTATTTTCCTCATTTGGTCTCGTCTCCAAACTTGACTTACTTTTGAATCCAGGCGATTATGTGGATTGCGAATAGTATTTATGTCACAACACCGAACCCTGAGGTACTGCATCCAGTACTTCTCTCCGACATTTCTCCTGTAACTACTTCTGGGCTATTTATCGCTCTTTTATAAGATTTACTCTGAACCCTAACAGCTTTATGTTTGGCCAACTGTTATTCACATCAAAAAGCCTTCATAAATCTAGTTAGAATGGGCTACTTACAATCCACTGAAATCGCTACTTCTTTACGGAAGTTAATTATTTGGTCAGGCAAGATGTGGCTCTTCTGTTGGCTGATATTTACTGACTTTGTGAAGGAAAGATAGTCCTTTAAATTAAATGCCAATGATGTTTTGCATTACCTAACAAGGGACAGAAATAAGATTAATAAGTCTGTCATTCCCTAAATCTGCCTTATCATTCCTTTATGAATACAGATCCTACATTAACCCATTCCAATCTGATGATACTGATTCCTCCCTGGACTGACCTATCCCCTTCCTAACTCCCTACCTACACTCACCTTTCCTGGCCCCATCCCCGCCTCTTCGACCTGTTTGTTTCCTCTCCACCTATCCTCTCCTCTATCCCTCTTCTATCCGCCTCCAACTCTCTCCCTATTTATTTCTAAACCCCCTTCCCCTCCCCCTTTTCTGATGAAGGGTCTAGGCCCGAAACGTCAGCCTCTCTGCTCCTATGATGCTGCTTGGCCTGCTGTGTTCATCCAGCCCTGCACCTTGTTATACTGATTCAGTGTTCAGTCACTTTGAGTGTCTTTCAGTATATTTAAGATATATACCATCTGTCCTTGAAAATTTGTTTTTGTTTTGGAACAGCCTTGTGTATTTTGGACCGATGTCTTTAAAATGTGTCTTCCTCCCAACAACTCTCCTCCCCAAAGAGCAGTGGAGGCTGGATCATTAATTATACTTAAAGCTGAGTTGGAGAGATTTTTCATTAAGGAGAGAGTTGAGGTTATGTGGGACTGGCAGGAAACACAGTTATGGCCACAATCAAATCGTCTTATTGAATTGTGGAACACATTTGAAGGGTGAAATGGCATTCTCCTGTTCCAATTTCTCATGATCTGCTTTGTTGAACAGCCTCAGTGAGTTAATTTGCTTAAATTCCCCTAACTTCTTTCAATGTTGACCTTGTCATATTTGTGTACCTAGCTGGTGGTTTTGGCCATTTCTGAATCCTACATCTTGTGAAACTTTGTGATTCTGCATTGATTCAAAGATACAATAGTCTCTGTGTTTGGATTATTCACAATTACTGGGTCAAAAACACTCCTGTGTGCTCCCTAATGTAAAGCCATGTATGACGCCTATCAGTTTGGTTTCCAAACGACCTGAATTTTTAGATGCGATTAATTCAAATTACGTATGAAAGTAACTTTCCTTTTCTTATCTCCCCTTCCAATCTGTTCAAAGGACAACCTGCCTACTTTTTGCTGTTGATCTGGTGATCTGCATTATAACTCAAGTATTAGACAGAATTCGAAAGTGTAACAGCTGCTGCAGCGCAGTTAACTCAAGAGTTCAGTTGGATTTAAGCTTGCTAAACTTCTAATCAAAAAATAGAATCATAAATTCAAAGAGTGAATGTGGTACAGAAGGAGGCTGTGGATCCTAAGTCTCTAAAAGAGCTAAGATGCTTCCCCATCTTTATCTCATAGCCCAGTGAATTATTTGTCACTTTGTTGAATAATATAAACAATAGTTCACACTTTATTGGGGATTCTGTTCATATGTAGCTGGGTCAGGTTTTTCATTTTCTTAGAAGTGACATGGGAAATAAATTTAGATAGAATTCCATTGCACAATATTTTGATAAAAAAATTATGTTCTATTTTTATATTAAAATCAATTTTAATGTGAATTTATATACACTCACTTTAAGTTAATATTGCCAACGATTCATAAACATAATAAAGTTTTAACTCACTCAAAATTGTTCACTTGCACAGAGTTACAGTTGGGCCCAATTGACAGTGACGCTGAACTGAAAATAGGAGTATTAGCTCTGTGTGTGTGCATAATACACAATACTGATATGTGGTACAAGGTGTTAATGTGCAGTATACAATGTTAATAAGCAGCAATGTGAATGTACATGACATGGTAATGTGTAGTATGTGGTGGTGATACTCAATAAATATTACTGGACAATATATGTTGTAAATGCATAGACATGGCATGTCAAAGCTCCAAACTGCAGTGATTCACACTGACTGACAGAATGCAATGCTTATCCTTCACTCCAAGCACAACTTGATAACAGAGGCCCATTCTTAGAGAGAAAACTTATCTACTCTAGTAATTTCCTCTGTATTTGGCAAGGCACAACCTTATGGCTCATTTTCAAATCCTGTGTCAACCCGGTGCTGAATCAATTTGTAATAGTTTGCCCTCATTACTATAAATCACTGTAGGTGAACGAAGAGGTCGGACCTGGTATTGACTGGGCAAATGAAAACGATCGCTTGCTAGTTTGTCAAATGTGCATTAAGCTCGCTGATATCAATGGGCCGGCCAAATGCAAGGAGCTGCATTTAAAATGGACTGAAGGCATCGTTAATGAGTTTTACGAGCAGGTTAGTCGTAAATGAATGAATTGCTCATGTTTTGTTCAATGTATTTTCGTGCAAATGTTCCATCAAAAAGAAACCTTAGGGTTTGAAGATCGAGTTCAGACACCTTGTAGGGCATGTGCTCATGGGGGCATCCTTGCTGAGGAATGATTCATTCCTGCTCAAGACGTCACAGAGATTCTGATACATTAATGTAGGTAATTAGGCAAGCATACCCTCATGGTCTCCATCCAGTTACCTCACCAGTGCTTCTAGTGAGCATCTTGTAACTTATGGCACTTGATCAGGAAAATTAAACATTAAAAATAGTACTGGATGGTGATGACCATGTGTAAGGATTCTGACGTTGACCCATTTTTGGACAAAATACTCATCAGTGTAATGATAGAAAATGCAACGTAGCAAATGTCTGTGCCGTTACATTGTCCAGCAGTTTCCAATGTAAGTGGTCCTGGCCATGTGCCTGTAATGAGAATGAGCACAATATTGAAATGCGTACAAAGTAGCAAAGAGGCTTTACCAAATCTTTAATTCATTAACTGCCCCAATTCACTTGCAGGGTATTGATATGAGGTCTCTCCAATGATGGTGGGACTTGCCCAAGATCACAAAAGTGCCTCAGGTTATTCTTTCTTTGCAAGTTAATTGTTGGGCTTTAGGCTGGTGTACTCTAGTAACAACACTAAAGCTCAGCTCATTCCCAATTGTAGATTCTGCCAGACACTGAGAGGAGCTGAGACCAGATACATGACCCTGACAGGAACCTAAGCTATGTGAATCACTCTATATTCACAAAGTGGTCCAATATGCCCAGGACTGGCTACAGCTGCTGTGAGGAAAACCAAATCTCTATTGGTTGACACAAAATTTATTGCCTATTCCATAGTTAGCCCTACAGAAGTTAGTGGGTAAACTGCCTTCTTGAACCACTGGAGTTCACATGGTGAAGGTGCTATTGCGATGCTGTTAAAGTAATCGGGAACTAGAAGTTTGCATGAGTGATAGCAAACTAATGGTAATATCAAAAGTCACGCGACACCAGGTTATCGTCCGACAGGTTTATTTGAAACGAGAAGCTTTCGGAGCACTGCTCCTTCAGTGGAAGTGCACAGACACAGAATATATAGGCAAAGAGATAATTGCAAGGTAATTAAGAGTGTCAAAAGATAGTACAAAAAGTGCAGCAGCTGAATAACAAAGCCTTTGCAGGTGATCAGAAGTGCCAGATGATGTGAGTAAAGTATCAACAGCTCAATTGCAAGTGAAGGGATGACCTAAGATCCAACTAATAATTACAGAAAATCAAAAATAGGATGGTACTAGAGACCAACCAAATGGCTGGAAATAACATGATAGGTATAAGAGTCGCATGATGAGGGTCTTCATGGGTATGGAACTTGGCATCAACCATGATCTTGAGTTCATGTCGCGCTACATGTAAACCCACCATTCTGTTCTGTGTTTGTAAAATCTTCCTTACTGTCCTGTTTTGACACCATTACCTTGACAATTTGTTATGATCTCTCTAACTTAATTAGTTTGTACAGTTTTGGATTACTTGTTACTTTGGTTAGACCCTTGTCATGCGACTCTCATACCTATTGTGTTATTCCAGCCATTTAGTTTGTGTCTAGCACCATCTTACTTTTGATTTTTTCAAATTATCTCGCTGCTTCAGTTAATCAGATCATAGGTTATCCCTTCACTTGCTAATCAGCTGGTGACACTTTACTCACACCAGCTGACACTTTTAATCACCTGCAAACTTGTTATTCGGCCTGTCGACACTCTGCTGATACTATTTGTACTATCTTTTGCCACTCTTAATTACCTGGAATTGCCTTGCAATGATATGTCCGCCTACAAATTCTGTGCCTGTGTGCTTCCCTCCACTTCACTTGTCGAAGGAACAGTGCTCTGAAAGCTTGAGATTTCAGATACACCCCTGTTGGACTATAACCTGATGTCGTGTGACTTCTGACTTTGTTCACTCCAGTCCAACAGCGACACCTCCACATAATGGTAATGTATGTATAAGTCAGATAGTCACATGAAGGGGAAGTAGCAATTGACGGTGTTTCCACATATGGTGCTGCCTTTGTCCCTCCAGATGGTGGAGCTCATGGTGCTTAGGGATGGCTTTTGGTCTAAATTTTGGGGAATTGCCATCCTAAGTCCTGTGAATGGTGCACAGTGAAGTAATGCCAAAGAAATGTCCTGACAAGATTTCTCTAGAGAGATAGAGAGTGAGAGAGAGAGAGAGAGAATCCAAAACTCAGGTAAAGTAATCTCAACGTTTCTGACTGATTTGATTTTGCTATGCAGGGTGATGAAGAGTCAAGCCTCGGGCTTCCCATCAGCCCGTTTATGGACCGTTCAGCCCCTCAGCTGGCCAAACTTCAGGAATCCTTCATTACACACATTGTGGGTCCACTGTGTAACTCCTATAACTCAGCAGGGCTAATACCCGGGAGATGGATGGAGGATAGTGATGAAGACGAGGAGGAAGAGGAGGACGACGATGATGCTGAAACAACAGAGGAGGAAGGCACAGAAACATTGGAAACAAGACGAAGTGAGTATTATTTATTCTTAAAAAAAAAACTTCAAAAGAAAATCATGGTGGTTCCAAATGACTGGCTAAACTCAAGGCGTAGCCTTTTTGATCAAATATTTAAATGGAGAGGGAGATGAGGAGTGCTTAAATCATGTCATTTTGAACTTTGAATGTACGTGGATATTTTACAGCAGTGTCTGGCAGATCTGCACTTTAGTTGCAGTATTTGTTGACTGATATCTTTAAGCTTAAATACTGCATACTTAATGCGTGCCACGTAGCCAGGTGTACAGCTGGTGACTAACTGTGTCAGTGACCCATGAGATTTCCCAGTGATCACACCTTGGCCTACAGTTATCCAGCACAGGTGCAAGCTGTGGATCTGTCAGTTTGATTCCCTTCCAGCATCCCTGCCATAAAGTCAGCAATTAAAAAGTCTGAGAATGGATTGTGATAGAATTAAGGCAGGTCAGAGAATGCATTATTTCTTGTATGAGTCAGATTTATCGATTGATGAATGCAGAGTTCAAATAAAAAATATTTGAGTCTTGAACCATTTATCATCTGAAAGGAATTGTTTTGCTCATTCAACCACCAAATGAGGTAAATCCCAATTCTTTACATATAAGTACTAAAAATAATGTGTCGCATTTAACTTTTGTTTGCAATACTGTAGAAATGTAAGCCTTATATTAGACTTACAGCTGTTATTAATCTGGAAGAACTCAGACTAGACAACAACTTCTGAACTGAAATGTTAACTCTATTTCTCTCTCCACAGCTGCTGTGATTTTCCAGCCTTTTTTTAGTTCTTATTTCAGATTTCCAGCATCCAAAGTATTTTGCTTTTGTAGACATTAATCTCCCTGGCATTGCATTCAAATGGAATCAGTCAAGGGTTTAAGTAGTTTTCAGTGAACTTTGTCATATAGCAAATTGTTCCTCTTTTACATGATGATGTGGCATCTTAGTCCAGCATTGCATACATTAGCCTCCTTTATTAATGGCTGAATCCTGTCACTAGTTAATGTACCTTCTTTGATAGTTCCTCATGTTACCTGCTGACATGCTGTCAGAGGGGTCATGTTATTTGGTATTGTGCTGCTGGATGCTAAGTACTCCAGGCTGAATGTAATCATACATCTACATAACTTTGAGGCTTTTTGTCTCCTCATTGTTAGGTTGTTTCATTATAATGTTAAACATCTCTTCTTATGAGCCTTGACTGGACTTTTCGCACTTCTGCGATGAAAGTGAACAACTCTGCTAGGATGGCACCAGCATTGGTGGTATAGTGGACAGAGGTTATCCAGGATTACAAAGAGAACTTGGTCAATTGGGTCAGTGGGCTGAGGAGCGATAGATGGAATTTATTTTTGGATAAATACGAGGTATTGCATTTTGAGAAAACAAACGAGGGCAGAACTTATACAATTTATGGTAGGACCCTGGGTAGTGTTGTAGTACAGAGACCTAGGAGTACAGGTACATAATTCGTTGAAATTTGCGTCATAGGTAGACAGGGTGGTTAAGTTGATGTTTAGCACGCTTGCCTTCAATTCTCAGACCTTTGAGTATAGGAGCTGGGATGTTATGTTGAGGTTCCACAGGACATTGGTGAGGCCTCTTCTGGAATAGTGTTCATTTCTGGTCACCCTCTTATAGGAAGGATGTTATTAAGCTGGTGAGGGTTCAGAAAAGATTTACCAGGAATGGAGAGTTTGAGTTATAAAATTAGGCTGGATATACTGGGACTTTATTCACTGGAGCAAAGGAGGTTGAGAGGTGACCTTATAGAGGTTTGTAAAATCATGAGGGGCATAGATAAGGTGAATGGCAAGGGTCTTTTCCCTAGGGTGGGAGTTCAGAACTAGGGCATAATTTAAAGGTATGAGGAGAAAGTTTTAAAAAAGATACGAGGGGCAACTTTTTTTAAACAGAGTCGTTAGTGTGTGGAATGAACTGCCAGAGGAAGTGGTGGATGTAGGTACAGTTACAACATTTAAAAGACATTTGGCCAAGTACATAAATAAGCAAGGTTTGGAAGGAAATGGTTGGCGTGGACTAGTTGGACCTGATGGGTCAGTTTCCATGCCACATGACTATGACACATTAGATACTGTTTTCTCTTGGCAATTGGCATCATTCATGTGCATTTATCTCTGGAGCTTGAGCTGGCATATTCGATGGCTCAGGACTTGTACTGTGCTGTGTAAAAGTAGACAAAAATTACTGGCAGTTGCAAGGCACCTTATCATCAAGTATCAACATGCTCCACATACTCCGAGAGCAATCAAAATGTGAAACTTCTCACCACATGAAGTGGTTGGAGCAAAGAGTAGATACATTTAAGGAGAAGCCAGATCGGTGCGTGGAGGAGAAATTAGTTATAGTTGGAAGGGAAGAAGTTCGTAGTTAGTTCAGAAGTTTAGTTAATCGAGTGAAAGAAATTTACTGGGACGATGACCATGAACATACAAACATCAGTTTAGATTTGTTGAGCTGAATGGTCTATTTCTAAGCTGTAAATTTCAACATGATTTGACCCAGAATGGTATTTGTTAACATGCAGTGACAGCTTTTACCTCTCGGAGATTGGGAAGTGACTTTGCTGCCACCTCGACCCGAAAAACGAGGTAAATTTCCAGTCAGTTCATGTCACAAAGCCATTTGCCATTCGGATCCATTTCTTCAATGAACCTGGAACTTGCAAATTGGCAAGTAGATTTCCTGCTGTTGTCTCCAGCCTTTCAGAAAAGTCAAACATGAGCACATAATAGTTCATTCTTTGTGAGATACATTTGACTAGAGATTACGTTGGTGTTGAATCTGACTCATACTTCTGGTTGAAATGTGTATGAGGTTTCAATCCCTCCTCACTTTTAGTTTTATTGTACAAGATCATTGTCATTATGGCTAGTACTGCTGGCAATGGCACCAAGAAATCTTTATCCTTGACTGCCAATCCTCCAGCTTGAAAGTCACTTCAAGAATGCACACTGTGTCCACACCTACTACTTGAAAAAAAATCCTTTGTCTGCACAAAGCCTATTCTGTCCGGTTTCACTGATCTATCTGTGAAAATATTCATGCCTTGTATCAGTATCCCACCAACAAGCCCATCAGAATGGAACACTTAACCAAGTTCCAGTCCAGGCAATCACTCCTGCCCTTGCTGACCTACACTGAGCCTTTAGTCCAGATATGACAAAATTGCTCTGCAAAGTTACAGAGATACCAAAGGTTGGTCACCTTTATCAGCAGAGTGTTTGGGAAGGCCCAAAGAGTCCATAATCAGCAGCTATAGATTTAGGATAAGGAGATAGGAGGTTTAGAGGGAATTTGAGGGGAAACATTTTCACCCACGGATTGCTGGGAATCTGGAACTTTTTGCTCAAAAGGATGGTGGGAGACAGAAACTCACAATGATTTGAAAAAAATACTTGGATATCCACTTGAAGTGCTGTAACTTCTAAAGCTACAAACCAAGAACTGGAAAGTAGGACTAGGCCTGGATAATTGTTTGTAAGTTGGCATAATGGGCCAAACAGCCTGCTTCTAATCAGGAACAAAAGCAGAAGTTGCTGGAAAAGCTCTGCAGGTCTGGCAGCATCTGTGAAGAAAAAAATCAGAGTTAACATTTCGGGTCCAGTGACCCTTTCTCAGAACGACCCGAAATGTTAACTCTGTTTTTTTCCTTCACAGATGCTGCCAGACCTGCTGAGCTTTTCCAGCAACTTCTGCTTTTGTTCCTGATTTACAACATCCACAGTTCTTTTGGTTTTTATTTAGCCTGTTTCTAATGCTGTAAATTTCTAGGTTTCTATTTCTGCACTCCTCCAAATTCGGCCTCTTGAATATTCTCATTTTTAATTGCTCCACCATTGCCAGTCATGCTTTCTACTGCTTAGGCTCTAAGGTCAGGAATTCCACCACTAAACCTCTTCACTTCTCTATACCTCCCTCCTACTGTGCAAACCTGTTTGAAGCATGTTCTGCCACCAAACATTGGTCACCTGCCCTCATGATATTCTGAGAAGGACAGGGAACATCCAAACTGAGTTTGTGGTTTAGGTTGATGAGCTTGAACCAGTGAGATACATCACCCTGAAACAGCTCCTATCTACACAGATGCTGTCTGACCTGATGTGTATTTCCAGTCTCATTTCAACAGAACGTACTCTAGGTGTGGGAGTTCAATGTCCATCACCAAGTGTGATCCAATAACAGCACTATTGATGGAGCTGGTCAGTCCTAAAGGACATCGCTGCTCAATCTGGTCTGCAACAGATAGTGAGGGAACCAACAAGACGGAAAAACATTCTCGACCTCATCCTCACCGATCTGCCTGTGCAATGTGTTCATCCATGATAGTTTTGGTAGGAGTGACCACCATACAGTCCTTTATGGAGACAAAGTCCTACCTTCACATTCAGGATAACCTCCATCAGGTTGTATGTATGGTGCTACCGTGGTGTAAAATGGGACAGACCTCAACAGATCTAGCCATTTAAGGCTGGGCATCCATGAGACGTCAGCAACAACAGAATTCAACATCACAACCTGTAACCTGATGGCTCAGCATATCCCTCACTCTACCGTTACCACCAAGCCAGGGGATCAACCCTGGTTCAGTGGAGAGTGCAGGAGGGCATGCCAGGGGCTGCACCAGGCATACCTAAAAATGAGATGTCAACCTGGTGAAGCTATAACACAGGACTACCTGAATGCCAAGCAACTTGCAATAGACAGAGCTAAGTAATGCCACAAACCAACAGTGCTTTTCTAAGCTCTGCAGTCCTACTATGTCCATTCATGAACAGCGATGGACGATTAAACAAGTAAATGGAAGGAAGAGGCTCCACAAATATCCCCATCCTCAATGCTGGGGGTGTCCAGCACATCAGTGCAAAAACTGAAGTTGTTGGATTTGCAACAGTTTCCAGCCAGAAGTGCTGAGTGGGTGATCCACCTCAACCGCAGATGCCAGTCTTCAATCAATTTAACTTACTCCATGT